TTACTCCACTGGGTCTCTTGCCTCTCAGGCATTCACACTTAGCTTCCATAACCACATGAGCACTATACACACACAAGGGGAATTACCTGCATGATCTCTGAGGTTCAGATACCTCAACTACTTTTCCATCTTTGAACACAGTTACTAGCTTCCTCAGGAAAGCAGCACTTGTTAGCCTGTTTTATTTCTTATGTGGTTTATTTACTTTGTTACATAAGTAAATCTGACAGACACTTTGACCTGCTTGCTTCTCTTCACTCCAGTGTGTGCTCCGTCAGCTGGGAAAGACTTATCTGTCTTCAGAATACAATGCAGTGTATTAGAATAGTGCCTAGTATCTAGGACATTCTTAATGTTCATTGAATCACTGGATAGACTTACATTACTATTTTAGTTATATTAAAGTAAATAGTCTTTTAAAATAAGGCTGTTGCCCTGAACCTTGTTTATACCTTTACACAAAGATCCAATGTCCTCTTCAACTAGAAAACATTGACTTGTATTTAAATGGACTCTCTCTAATTGGTGCTTCTTTTTTATTATTTAATAACCACATGATTAAAAGAAGCATTTCATTACAGTTTTAACATATTCAGTAACATACTCCAGAGCAAGGATACATCTCTTTCAAAAGTGGCTGTAAATTTTTAGATTCCCGGTTGAGAAAATACAGCTTACATTTTGTGAAATTCTTAAAGCATCAATAAAAATAAAATACAGCTTTCCTTACTTGAGATTTTTCCCACTCAGAACCAAGGGAAAGGTCAGAGTAGGCAAGCAGGAGGGCCATGGTGATGTTGGGTGTGCCTTTCATTTCACTCCAGACCATTATGAGGGCCCAGTGTCAGTTGGACCCACGACCAAGTCGAGATAAAATGGGGCTCATTAATAATAAGACCAGAAGTCTAGAAGACAATGCCAGATTTTAAAGGTTATTTTCATTGTAGAAATGTTTGTTCCATTTTTTCTATTGTATTCAAATCATTGGAACTAGCTTTCAAAACAATGAGCCATCTTCATAAACTGTTGACAGGCATCAAGGAAGGCAGATGGTATCTCACAGAGGCACCTGACAAGAATGATTTTCTTCCCTTGTTCTCTTTATTTCCTTCCACTACTGAGTGGTAGGGTAATTTTTCATCACCCTTTGGTGGTGCTTCCTCAAGTGGAGAACAAACATGAGGCACTCTGTAAATTTTAGACCTCAGTAAGAAAGGACAAATAGAAATAAGGAGAAAATGTCCTTCCTTCTTTTACTTCCAGTGCCCATCTTGCTAAATTTATCTCTTGATCAGTCCTTTTCCAAATCTTCTTTCAGTCTCATATCATTCCTAAATTTCACACCAATTTTTCTGATAATTTGGGACAAATATTTAGAACCAGTGAATTGCTGTTAACAAGCCTACTAACTTTCCTAGATAGAAACAGAATGTTAACAACTTGAGTGACAGCTATGAGACTTCAGTTATAGCAGATTTTCTTACTATATTTCAACTCCTGTGAAGCTCTATGGACATATTCTTCCATTTCTTAAAATTACACAAAGGGACTGCATGTTATTAGAACAAAAAAGTCATTTGCAAAGAGTGCTTCTTTATGATTTCTGAAAGGTGCTGTTTCCAATTACAGTTTTGAATTCATAGAAATTATAATATTAAGCAAAACCACAAGATACAATTTCTGTTTATGACAGGGACTTACGTTGCTAAAACCTTAGACAAAAATAGAAAACGCTGGATGAAATATGCCAAATATTGATAATGTTGCTTCTTAGTAACCTTAGTAGATTATATATCTGTACCTTCATAAATTTTACAGTGTTTGCATTGCTTTTAATTACATTTAAAAACTGAGAAAACTGCTGAGCATTAAGTTGTCAATCTTGAGAATTTTGAGTCAATTGTTCAATCTGAATTATGAAATAATTTTGTTACTTTAGAAAGTGATCTTCAGACCTATTTAAATTCCCATAATAAAACAATCAGTGTGAAGTAGATAGTTAATGAATAATATACATCTGAAAATGACATATATAAATATGTATGTGCAGGGATTAGAAGTCCACTGAAAGTAAACACCATAAGGAAAGCAACAAATGATAGAGAATTCCAGAATCTGCATTTTTGAGAAAAATTCAAAGTAGTTATAGTTAATTAACATGTTTATTATAAAGCTGACCCACACAAGACATTATGAAATTATCAGTAAAATAAAGCTGAACAAGGCATTTATTGACACCCAATGAGGACTAAAATTGAACTGTGAATAAAGGAAACAAAAACAAAATTTTAAAGAAAATTTTAAAAATGGTGAATAAAGCAAATAAAAATATAATTTTAGAGTAATTTAAATTAGTTTTTAAATGTACATCAGTGGGCTAGATAGCCTCAGTTGTCAACTTGACACACCTAGGTAGGGAATCTCAATTGAGGAATTGCCTCCTTTGGATGGCCTGTGGCCATGTCTGTGACCATTTTCTTGATTATTGAGTGATGTGGGAGGGTCCATCCCACTGTGGATGTTGCCACCCCTGGGCAGGTGGGTCTGTGTTGTATAAGAAAGCAGGCTGAGCACAGGCCAGAGGAGCAAGCCAGTAAGCAGTTCCTTCACAGTCTCTGCTTCAGATCCTGCCTCCAGGTTCCTGTCCTGACTTCCTCCCTTTCATTCCCTCAGTGATGAACTGTGATCAGGACATGTAAGTAAAATGAACGTTTTCTTCCCCAAGTTGTTTTGGTATTTTATCATAGCAATAGAAAAGTGGACTAGAACAATCAGCAACATCTTTTTCTATTGGATCTGAAGGAAACTTTTAGGTTGTAGTTATACTGTATTACATAATATAGTAGCTGAAGCATCCAAACATCATAGTCACATAACTTGAAAATGCTGATTGTGAAAGTTATTTTTTAATATGTATATTTTT